ATAGCGCCACCAACACGCGTCTCGAATGCCAACACCAATGCCAATGTGAAATCTGAGCCCGTCTCATCGCCCGAGGAGGACATGGACGGCTTCTCGGCTGTCAGGTTGGGCGGCCCTGAGGACGACGCCATCGCACCATCCCCCCTGCCATCGCCCTCACCCTCCCCCCCAGCCACTCCTCTCCCCCCGGCACCTCCGCGGCCCACTGGCCCATTTGCCGAGTGGATTCAGCGCGCCACGGCCGTGTCGTATCAGGACTTCAGGTCTATCGCAGTCGCATCTGCGGGCCGGCTGTGTATGTTCCGCATCCAAAGCGGGGGCTCGCGTGACGGCGGGTTCATGGGCGGGCGAGCCCCGGTCGTCAGCCTTCTGTGGGAGGTGGCGACGGGCACTCTCGGCCGCAATTTCTGGGGCAAGGCGTCGCCTGACTTCTCGCTGCGTCGCGTGTCGTCGATCGTCTTCTCGGACGAGGAAGTCATTGTGGCGGACGAGGCGACAAATCGCATACTCGTAAGCCACACCCACGCTCGTGCACAAGATCGTTTGCTCATCGTTGTGCTTCATGTGGTTGGAATGTCAGACTTTCGACATCTCTACAGGAGCACCGAGGCGAGAGCTTCAGGGCCTAGGATCTGGGTCAAGTCCCGGCCGCATTCATTGCCCGAAGGCGTTGTGTGTGGACTGCACACGCGACGTCCTGTGGGTGGCGGAGGGCGACGAGGGCGCCAGGAGGCAGTCAGGCAGGATCACCGGGCTGTCGCTCAAAAACGGTGAGTGAGGCGACAAACGACAAACGACACAATCAGCGCAGCAGATGTTTGACGGCTGCTTACATGTCCGTTTATCAGGTCTGCCTTTGTACTGTATCGACTTCGCAAGCCTTGGGCTCACGAGAGCCGTGGCGACGAGGTGGGCAATGCAATGGTGCACTCTGACGGCTCACAAGCGTGGATCGGATCGATGTGATGTGGCTGTGTGTGGTATCTATCCACTGTTATATGATGCAGCCTGTGCATGGACCGTGAGAGCCCTCGTCAGCCCCCGGTCCTCTATGCCTGTCTCAACTCCCACCACTGCATCCTCGCCATCAACCTCATGCACCTGCCCCTCCCCTCACAGCAGGCCATCCCTGCCTCGTCACACGACCTCTCCACACAGAGGACATTCCACTTCCCATACGCCCTCCCGGCCTCTTGCACCAGTGGCCCCAGTGGCCCGGCGCCCCCCAAACACGCCGGCAGGGGGCAGGCGCCGCCCCCGGCAGCAAGACCCTCTATCCATAGAGGCGCCACCACTGATGCTGGTAGGGCCGACAGAGACAGACCACCAGCATTTTGCATCAATCGTTGGTCACCTTCATGCATCTTGCTCTGCTCTTACGTGTTCCATTTCAGCCTTTCCGAGCCCGCATCATGCCGCTTCTGCCCCCCCACACAATGCCCCTCCCCCTCCCCCGCCCCCTCCCGATTGGCAGAAGTGCAGCAGGGTCGGCATGTTCGCGTACAAGACCTATGAGGAGCTCGATGCCATCGCCATGGCCAAGACGTCACCCACACTCACGAGGCTGCCATCTGGGCAGGGCAAGAAGGATGGCGGGGGCGGCCCGACCTTCGCGGATATCGTGAAGCGGCCGACGCCCCAGCCGCCTGCGGCCCCTGCGGCGCCGGCTCTGTTGTCGTCTGGTGTGTCCAAGAGGGAGGCCAGTATGGTGCGGCGGGTGTGCATCTTCCATGGCAACACTGTCTACTACAAACTCATCGGCGGCAAAGGTAGGTAGGCCAGCAGCTCGCTGGGACGGACGGGCACAAAAGGCAAGAGCTTCTTTGGTCATGATGCGTGGTGATGTGCTGGCTATTCAGGTGGCACATTGGGTCACTATGACCACCCAACTAGCATCTGTGTGCTGCCGCGATACGTCACGCGAGAAGTCACAGGTCAGTCAGCCTTCCCCTCCACACGCATACCATACAGCATTCAACATACCATCCATACCATGCGCACGTAGGTTTCCTGTGGGGCTACCATCGCCACGACCCCCACCGGCCGCCGGCCCATTCCCGGGCGCACAGCCACTACCACACCCACCAGGTGACCACGCCGCTGCCGCCACCGCCAGGCCTCGCACACATGGAGGCGCCCGCCGAGAAACAATCGACCGATTACGACGTAAGAAGCACACCCCTGCTGACGCGGGAAAGTGGTTCCTCTACATGCCTGACGTGTATGTCTTGTGTGTTCAGTCGACCACGTTGGCAGTGTGCGACACTGGGAACCGTCGGATTCAGATACTGCGGGTCTGCATCCCGGCAACGACCGGCCATCATGGCAACGCTCCACACCCACACCCACACCCACATCACGCCGCGCAGAACCGATAAGTAGGTCTCTTTGGGCGGCTCCGAGGCAGCCACGGTGTTTATTACGTTGTGTCATTTCTTGTCGGATGGATGGATGGATGGATGGGTGGATCGCCAGATACACTTCAGACGTTTCTCGCTCGTCATTCGTGTTGGCGTTCACTCTGGCCGTCTGTCGTGCCCCGACAGACGGACACAGTGATGTACAGCGATGTGACGTGCGAGAAACGGCTGAGACGGTATCGATCATGCCTGCAGCGTTACGTACGACGGTACACTAGCAGAGCTGGTAGATAGAGCTTGTGCAGCGAGTGTTTGCGGCGGAGGAAGAAGATGATGGATGGATGGATGGCTGCGTCGACAAGGCTTCACTCACTCACCACTGAACAAACGCGTGCGTGAGGAGCTCTTCTGTCTGTCTGTCTGTCTGTCTGTGTTTTTGAATTATTGCGTGCGTGTGTGCCCGAGGGCAGTGTGTGTGTATGGTATGTATGGGTGGCTGTGAGGTGTCAAGTGAGTGGGTGGATGCGATGCGTGAACTGATACGTACATGCAGACATTTTATCCACACTGACGGGCGGGCGGGCGGGCGGACAGCGTCGTGTGTGCACACGTGGGAGAGGAAGGTCGAAGGTAGCTCGACGAGGGTGCCCATTTCCTTCGTCGAGCCACCGTTCGGCTGCCCCTTGGACGTGTCACTCATGACACCGGCCGCCGTCCATTGGCTATGCGCTGCAGTCTTGTTGCTCCTTCTGTCTGTCTATTTCTCTCTCTCTCTCTCTTTCTCTCTCTCTGACTACCTAGCTAAGCCGCAATGGATGTCACTGACTGACTTGGGGGTAGGGATGGTGTCTCTTTTTCTCTGACTGTATAGACCTAGGCAGCCAGCCGGCCACGCCAAGACAGACGTGGGTGGAGTGGACGGGATGCTGGTGCCGTGTCGTCCTATCTGTGGTCGTGAACGGTATTGCCAAAGGGTGGGTGCATGGGCTGGGGTGAGGTGAGTGGGTCATGACAGTCAGCCAGGGAAGAGGCGAGCGTCAATGCAAAAGGGCCATTGACGAGTGGGCTCGCCCATCCATTCATTGCATGTAACTACACGGTATGTCTCTCTCGCTTATGCCACATCCATGGGTGCACTGCATGTACCTACCTACTGCCAGTCTCATATCCATTCGTACAAACATTGACGAGTCCCGCAACAGCAGGATTCGGCATGACATGTGTGAGTGAAGAGGAGAGGGAGGGACGGGTGAATTCGTGGCAGACTCGGGGGACTACTCTGACGATTTTGCCTGACACACGGTGAGATATCAAACCCATGAAGTTCATGAAAGTCCCGCGATAATTCTCGCCGCGAGACGGGTAGTCTACGAATTGAATTTCTCGCCGCCAGGAGACGGGTCTTTTGGAAGAATTTAGTCGCTGGACGGCGCATTTCCTGCCTTCCCTGTGACACCCTTGTTCCCGCACGCCTCCGCACCCGCAAACTCCCGCGCGCGCTACCCGCACACTCTCGACTCACCCTCCGAGCAAGGATGCTTGCCGCTCTCTCACGGTCGTCGTGGCCCTCCTCTCTCTCTCATTGGTTCTTCAGCCCCGATATAAAATGTAGGCAACGATACGCCGCTGGCGTCACCCATCGCCTCTTCTCCCGCCACGCCACACCCCTGCCAGTCCAGACCTCTCAGCATCTCATTTTGACCGGCAAAGGTGACCAAGTGCGACGCGCCGTTCACTCTGGCAACTGGGACAGACAATTGGATGGATGTGTATCAGTTTCCCTTGCAAATTGTAGGGGTGACGAGCACCAACGCTCCCACGATGAAGCCCATGATGAGTACCTCAGGGCTGTCTCGTGACCGTCAGACGCTGAGCAGCCAGACCCAAGCCAGACAAGCGACCATGGCGTGCGTGCGAGTGTGTGTGTGTGTTTCAGCGGTCTTTTCGATTTCAGCCGCTCTCTGTCTTCTCTCCGGGATTCTCTTCCCTGTCGTCCATTTCGTGGCCGAGAGTGTGTTCGGGGGAGGCGTCCTACTCGGCAGCTGCTTGGGAAATGACCAGATTTCTACAGGCGTGTCATTTCCCAGCACCCATTCACTTTCATTGCTTTGTGCAGTTGGTCTTCTAGCGGAAGAGGAAGGCAAGTGATCACGACGCCCCTGGTCAGCAAACAAGGAGGAAAGGAAAGGGCGATAAGTGAATCAAGAATGGTTCGCAGGAGTGGCTTGAGGAGAAGAAGGGGCAGATGTGGGACGAGAACGAGGAGCGGCCGCTGACGGGCCGTCTTCGGGCGGTGCTGCCCGTGGAAGATGGAGCGGGCAACAAGTGAACGGTCAAGGTCCTCTATCCAGGTACCGACACACGCAGACATCCACGTGCATCTGTCTGTGGTGTCGTTCAGACCAGCACGACTGTGCCCTACAGGTCCACGGACGCGTGGAGCTTTGGTCTATCTGTGTCTGACTGTCTCTCTGACTGTCTGACTGCCTGCATGTACGCATATATGTAGGAGGACGATGGCTATCTCTGGACGGGTTTTGACGGCTGGGCGGGCACCCCCCACCCCAACGTCATCACATGCAAGGACATCTACCGTATTGAGGGGACGGGAGGGCTGCACTGCAGATCAAGGCCTACAAGATGGAATGGCTGGCCGGTAAGCCAACCGAAAGACAGACAGACAGACAAACACATGGAGGCACGTACTGGCACACAACATCTCACACGTAGATTCACACTACGTGCGACGCCGTGCAGGTACACTCAACCAGCTCGAGGAGAAGCAGCCGATGGCGACGGTGGTGGATATCTGCTGTGGGGTGTTTGAGGCCCTCCTGCATTTCGACAGGTTGAGGCCCAGCCTGATCCACGGCGATATCCATGTAAGGACTACTTGAAGGGCCGCATGGGATGGGATGGGATGGGATGAGCTTACCTTCCAAACCTCACTCTCTCTCTCTCTCTGTGTGTTTGTGTGTGTGTGTGTGTGTGTGTGCGCGTCTTTATGTGTGTGCGTGTGTGCCATATCTTGACATATTCACAGGAGCCGAACATAGGCATTCGGTCGAAGGGCGGCGGCGGGAGCGAGGCAGTCCTAATCGACCTGGATCGGGTCAGGCCGACCCCGTTTTCCGACGAGGGCGGCTCGTACCCTTTCCAAGAATCCAGCCGACGAGGTGAATACAATGAATGAATGTTCGCATGATGCGTCTGCCTGTTCGCTTTGTGCGTCCGTCTCAGGGCCCTGCATTTCTCGACGGAAACCGAGACGTGTGGTGAGCGGCGAAGGCCCTTCTGGGCTTCGCCAAGAGGCAGGATGTGGATCGTCGGCTGCTGAAGGTGTGGAGAAGATAATGGAGCTGGTACCAAAGCGAAAGCCGGAGCTGATGATCAAGAAGGTGAGAATGACTTCCATGCGTACGTATGTATGTCAAGTAATGCCTCACAACGTGTGAATGTGGATCAGGCCATTCGGGACCTTCGTTACGTCCAGAAAAAGATCGAGAGCCACCCGCCAGCGTCATCATCATCATCACCACCACCACCAGCAGCATCGATGGCGGCAGCAGCAGCTCCCTCTCGCCCACACCCACATCGCCCGCTGCTGCCCCGGCTGCCCCACAACAGCAGATTGGCTACCACGTCGAGACCGTCACCAAGCTGCTGGACGGCAAGGGTGGGTGCCGGATTCTTCAGGTGGTTTGGCATGTGCCGCCGGCAGCAGTGGTGGTGTGGACCGACAGACACGGGAGGCAGCACGCTTACTACTAGCGAGCCACGGCGTGCCGTATCCCTACCCGTCACCCGAACCACCTGCCGTTCAGCCCGGCCCATCCCGAGTCCACACCTCCCCCAGTCCCCTCTCCACCTGACCTGCTGCTCTGTGCCGTCTTGTTTGTCCTCCAGCTGCTGCTGCTGGTTCACTGAGTTTGGTGCTGTTTGAGAGGGATGACCCATTCTGCGGTGCGTCTGAAGAGAGGCAGACAGATCATGGCATCCACATTCATTCTGCTGGATGCGTTTTGTCCTGTCAGCTGATGCTGCGGCATTGTCGACCACACACCCAGAATGGAGCACGCTACCAGGCCCATCAGCTGAGGCTATCGGTAAGTCGCACCAGCTCAGCCGGCGGACCGACGACTCGCAGTCGTGTGTGTGTGGGTGGTTGTTCATTCAGGGTCACCCGGCCCCCCTGCGATGACGACGACAGGAACAGGAGCAGGTGGGCAAGGACGTGTGACATTTGCATGTTGTGCAGCTGTGGGCCCACTCCTTCCCTCACGCAGGCCACCACGCAGGCCAGTGCCCCGTCTCCCCACCGACGCAGAAGCCGACACCGTGTTCCTCTCTCTGGACCACACAGAGGTAACTAGTCCAGGACCACAGCACAGCACAACATAACAACGATGCGCTGGCTGGCTGACAGATACGCAGCTGCTCATCAACTTCAAGCAGCAAGTCGTCGCGGCTGCCGACAGCTCTCAAGCAATGGGCGTCTTTCAGCGGTTCAGAGAGCAGGTTGATTTTGGTGACTTCTGGAAGGCGCAAGACCTCGTATTGGTCGCTCAGGATGGCACACCAATACGCGACTCGGAATGGGTGACTCCAAGGAGGATCCTCTGGTGGTCCGGTTGCCAAATCGTGACGGGTGCCGACAGGGCGACGTTGGTGCCGCTAGCGTGGAAGGAGACCGCTGCCAGGGTCGCTGGTACATGGCTGAGCGGGAGGAATGGGGCTAGTGACGTGGTGGAATGTGTGTCTGTCTAGAAAGCACCCCCCAAGGTGGCCGGCAACATCGCCCGGAGCATCGGCAAACCGACGCTGATGCTGCGCATCCTTTCCTTGTGGCGGGGACAAGGGGCCGAGAGGAGCAGAATCAACGGTCCGTGAGCAACCAGCCACAAGACACAATACTCAGACACACATATGTCCAAAAGCCGGTGTGTATGTGTGTGTGTGTGTGTGTATATTTGTCCGGTCAGACTGTGCGGTGGTGGGCACCAATGCACTGCGTGTGCGTGTGCGGTGGAGGAGCACCCGGATGGTGTCTGAATGGTGCGAGTCGCGTTACATCCGCCCACAGGCGGTCATCCCACGCCTATCCTCAAAGGTAAGACCATCCGCTGCTGCAGTGGAAGATCTCACCTTTCTGTGTGTGTGTCTTGGTGTGCGTCATTCATTGCAGTCTCGGCCCCCTCCGCGTGAGCAATGGTTCATCTTCTTCACCCCACACGATTTCCCCCCTACCTATGGAAGGGTCAGCAAGGACTGCCTGCTCCCGGCCGGCCTGCCTGCCTGCCTGTTGATGCTTTTTGTTCTGTTGCCTGTGCTGCTGTGTGTTCAGGAGGATGACCATAGGGGTCGACAACAGCCTGACGGGCACGGGGGAGCCGGATGTCGACGGGGCTACGCGGCCGGCGTGGATGTCATTGGTCGCGTTGCTGCCAATGACATCCGAGTTGAGAGCATTGCAGAGAGGAGAGAGCGCTCGTAGTGTGTGTTTCTGTGTCACCGTGCCTGTCTCTGCCTGCAGCAGATCGCTGCCTACATTTTATATCTGAACGGCTTGTTTATCCTCTTTTCTCGGTCATTGCAACGCGACAGAGAAGACATACGCGAAGCTGAGCAATTTTGGCGGGGTCATGGAGCAATGATGAATGGATGAGTTGACGGAATGTCTGGCTGTCTATGTGTGGTGTAGCACTCACACAGAGATCGTGCTTGTGTGGCTCTCAAAGGGGCACATGAATGTATGTGTCGAAGACGACGCGTCTTGCAACATGTCCACTCACCCATTACAAAACCCCCCTACTCTACTCTGTGCTACTGTCCTGTGTTTCCCTCCCTCTCCCCCGACGCGCTGCCCGCGATGGCCTGTCTGATCTGCGCAAACAGAGAGATGATCTCCTCCAGCGAACACTCCCCAAACACGTCATCTGCCCACACACACATTCAAATCACCAGCACGTCATCCATCCATGGTCGATAAGTGGCACCGCCCCATCCATCCCTCGTACTCTGGAGGTGTTTGTGCAGCCCCTCGTGTTTGGCCTTGAGCATGGGCAGGGTGGACTCTATCTGCCGGATCTCCTCCTTCACCTGACCACTGCACACATAAATGGAGGCCCGGGCCATCCGTCCGATGCGCTGGTTGACAGAGATCTGTCCTCCCATTGGTCACCGGCAAGCCTTGAGTTTAGCTTCGGCTTTCTGCTTCGAGTCGGTGCTGCTGCTGCTGCTGCTGCTGTCTGCCGCCTCGTTGACGGCATCGAGCGCCAAGATGAGCTTCTCGATGGTCTCCACAGTCGCGGCGTCCGACGTCATCTTGTCCTGTTCGTAAACGGAACGATCTCGGCCGCTTGCGCGGCAGAGTTGAGATCGACGCGAATACTTTGATGAAAACGTGCAGCACGGCCGACAAGCGTCACATGTCAGTGTCGGGACAGTGAGACAGGCAACGCCAAATCGCCCTCCCTCCCGACGCTCTTTCGTCTCCTGGTTCTCGTCTGTCTGCTAGCCTTAGTGGTGTGCCTTCTGTTTCTTTTTCTTCTTGTCGCCCCCCTTGTGTGCGGCGGCCGCCTTCTGCCGCTGCTGCTGCACCAGCGACAGGTCAGCCACCGCATCAGGAGATCTTGCACGTTTCAAGGACACCACACCTGCAGGCCAGGCCGGCAACAAGGAAAGGTGCGTATCTACTGCCTGTTTGTCCTGGCAATTCAATTGGCGCTGCGTTGTCACTCACCTTTGGGCGTGTGTCCCTTGCTCGTCCGTCGGAACTCATCGATGTCGACACCGTCAAGGGAGAACTTCTGCACCAACAACAAACAACCAGCAACACGACGCGCCATGTACGCCACACCCGACCACCCATCCCTAGGTACCCACCTGCAGGAGCCCCTCATTGCGAAGGTCCTCCATGAGCTTCTCGCGTTTAAGCCTCAGCTCCTCGCGCACAGGCGCGGCGCTCTCCTCCAGCTCGTCCTCAAAACTTTTGGAGGGCAGCTCGCCGCCACCCACTGGCCCGGCCGACGGCCCCCTCATCATCGGGTGGCTGGCACCCATCTCAGCGTCGACCTCGCTCTCCGCCTCACGCTCGAGTAGACCCTGCAGTCAGTGGATGGATGGATGGATGGATGGATGGGGGACAGGGGAAGGCTTATGGGTGGTTGGGCTGGGCTGCTCACGTTGAGGTAAGTTGAGAGCTTGTGTATGGCTTTGTTGAGGAGGGCTGACGCCTGGTTGATGGGCAGATTGAACTCGCCGCATACAGATGACACTGCGAAGGACATCAGAACCATCGGTGGATGGTGTGGCCTGCCCCCGTTGAGCCTTCCTGCCTGCCTGTCTGCCTCACAGATTGCATTACTTGTTTTTCGTTGACAACCGAGCGCCATGAGGATCGCACACTGGAGATACGACATTGTCAGGCCAGGCAACCTGATCCGCACACACACACACACACATACAGATGGATCTGGCGACGTGCGCCTGTCTTTGTCTGACCGTTCATTGAAGAGGAGCCAGCAAACAGGCAGCAGCAGATCCTGGATGAGCGTCAGGTCGGCCAGCTGCTGCCCGTACTTGCGCAGCCTCAGCAGGTCGTGGCTCGTCAAGAACTGACCAAGCTGACAGACAGATAGACCGACACACAGACAGGGAATACACACACACCGATGTCGCCTGCCTGCCTGCCCCCACCACCCACCGTCTTACCGTCTTGGCAGTGACGGACGGCAGGCCAAAGCCGCTTCTCTCGTGCGTGTCCTCGTCTGCCGCCACATCGCTTTGCTGCGCCTTGGTGACGGGCGGGTCGAGCACCGACAGGGACAGCGATATGGGCAGGTGGGCGAACGGCCCTCCCAACAAGTTGAGGAACCTCCCTCTGAAGTCGTCCACAAACCCCGTCAGCCACCGGAAGGCCTCAGCATCACCACCATGCGCCTTGACGGGTCGCAGCATGATGACCGAGTGCTCCCCCGTGATCTCGTTGGGCACTTGTCGGAGGTAGACCGGCTGGAACTGCCGGCGGCGCCAGAAGTTGAAGAGCTCCAGAGTGAGCCCGAAGGAGGTGCCGAGGTAGTCGGGGGCCACTGGGAGAGCGGCCTCAGTGACGGGAGTGAGCAGGGGTGGGGTCTTGCGGGCCCTGAGCTGCTCTGTCTGCAGCTCGGACGGCGGTTGTGGGGGGTGGAGGGCGTCGCTGCTGCTCGATGCAGGGCCGTTGGCTTGTGCCATTGCCTCTTCCTCATCTCCTTCTCCCGCCTCGTCTTGTTGCTCATCCTCGTCCGCACTCTCATCGTCATCCTCGTTCCTGTCATCCATCTGCGCGTCGTCCACAGCAGCCGCCGCCTCAGCAGCTGATGGCCCGGTGGGCTCGTCGAAGGACAACAGTTTCCGCTCGAAGAACTCGATGAGCCTCGAGAGAGCGAATGATCCGTAGCCCATGCGCTGGAGGGAGGGATGGGTGGCGATCCGCACGACGCGCACCTGAGAAGGACAGAAGAAATGACACACACGTGGTGCGTTTCCTGCCGTGTTTTCTGACCCCGGTGAGTGCCCCGATGTCCTCGTCCACAAAGTGCTGCGCCAACGTCCACGGAAGCAGGTCGCCTGCACCACCAGACAACATACAGACAACACATACCACATCCACTTGGCCGTCTCCACTCGCCTCCCCCCACCCGACCACCCATGGACCCACCGGCAGGCTTGAGCCCTCTCCCGAGCGCTTCCTGGACGGCATCGAGGCTAAGCTTGCCCTCCACAGCACACTGGATGGCCACCAGGACGTCGGGCAGCGCTGTGGCGTCCTCGGCCAGCCGCGGCAGCAGCACGAAGAGGGAGTGGTGTGGGGCGTCGGCCATCATCAGCAGGTCGTTGGGAGTGTTTTTGTAGTGCGACGACACGAACAGGGAGGTGAGGCTGTGCAGGAAACGCTCCGACGCCTTGTGGTAGGAGAAGAGGGCGTCGCGGTCGACCATGTAGAGCTCACACTCGGACGGAGGGGGCAAACGCTCCTGGCAGGGCAGGGAGAGAAAACAGACAGACAGTCCAGTGTTTCCGTCCTTGCCCATCCATCAAGTGGTATGGAGATCCTACGTTGCTTTTGAGCGGTGTCGGGTTGGTGGCGTCGAGGCAGAGCAGGTCGTTGAGCCACTTCTCTGTCGGGTCGCCTGGCGCGTAACGAATGGGCTCCTGAAAGCACACATACATACACACACACACACACACACAACACGCACACAATTGCCGACGGGATGCCTGTGCACCTCCCTCCCTCTCCCTCCCTGACCTGCAGCGAGACCTCCTTGAGCACTCGGTCCTGCGCGGCCATGGCGGCGTCAAGCTGCCCCTGGGGCTTCTTGTGTTTCTTGGGGTGTTTGAGCTCCTCTATCAGCTTGAGGGAGAGGGACCGGCCGGTGCCCTCGTAGCCGTTGATGGTCGACGACATCAGCACCATGTACGGCCCCATGAGTCTCTTGACGAGGGGCAGCGGGATGGCGGCCGCCTCGTCGATGACCAAGAGCTCAGCCTGTGCGAGGTACTGGTAGTCGGTGGGGCTGATGTACTGAATCGTCTGACGGTGATCCCTACACCCCATGCACAGCACACAGCATCCATCCAACCATCCATCCATCCATCCATCTGTGTGTGGTTCGGCTGACCTGAAGACGTTGATGCGGACCAGCTGGTTGTTGAGCTCAGCACTGGTGCCTTTCAAAAGCTCGAAATCCGTGTGTTCCTTCATCCCCAGAGCCTCAAACCCCTAGCACACAGAAAGAACAAAACCGTCTGCGCCGTTCTCTCTCGACTTGACACGTGTGCTTTGCGTCTCTTCCTCTGTTCTTGGTCACCCACCCACCTTTTGTATGAATTCGAAGACTGTGCCGACATTCTCTGGCGCGGGGGCCGTCACGAATATGTTGGAATACGAGTAGGCCACGGCAGCAGCCACACACAAACCTAGCGCCGCGCTCTTGCCCCGCCCCCTGGCCGCAGTGATGGCCACGGTAGTCCTCAGCAACTTCTCGGCAATGGCGTCCGTCACGGTCATGACGGCCTTGGCCTGGTCTACCGTCACGGTGAGGCCAATGATGGGACCTAATGGTGGTGTGTCGGCGAAGGTCGCCCGGAGCTCCTGCAGCTCCTGGGAGATGGGCGGGCCCTTCTTGACGTCGAGGATGTCGGTGTCTTGGTGGCGCTTGCTGTGTCTGGTGTCCAAGGGTAGGATCCGCAGGGTGTTTTGGGAGAGGGGCAGGACGTTGAGCTCGTCATCGGTCACCAAACAGTTGGGGCAGTCGCCTGACCGATCAGGAACAGACAGACAGACAGCCAGCCAGCCAGACAGACAGACAGACATCCGTGCGTGTGTGGGTGTGAGTATGTGTTAGCCTGGCAGCCCACCCACCCACCGAGTGAGAGAATGAATCGTTCGTTGAATCTCGGTTTGACTCTGCTCTCCAGCCTCGAGGCGCTGTCGGTAAACCGCGAGTGGACGTCCATGGTGAGTGCATACAGCTGCTTGAGCGAGGCCATCGTACGGAGCAGGATGAGAATCATCCCACCACCTTCCACGGTCTCGATCGTCCGACACAGCAAATTCGGCGATAGCGCCTCAAAATCCTGACGAGTGGAACAGATGGCCTCAGGTGGGCGAAGTGTGTGGCGTGGTGTGTCCGTGTGTGTGTGAGCGGTGCACATACCTGCAGTACGCACATGCCGAAGGTCTGCCCGAGGATGAGGTGGCTCTCCTTGTAGTAGCAATAGCGGATGGACGTCGACGACACAAACAGCTCAAACGGGTCGTCGATGTTCGGGTCATACTGGCCTGTATTAATGCAGACACGCACAGCACACACACACACACACACACACATATGCATCCATCCCACCTGACCCGAGCGACGGTACCTAGGTACCTACCTTTCTGTATCTTCTTTTTGATCTGCTTCATGCGTTTCCTTCGATGAGAGCTGAACCCGAGTTCCTTCTTGTAGCACCACAGCACCGTCGGCTTCCTGCTCGTCAGCTTGGTCAGCATGTAGTGGAAGTTCACCACCTGGTCCCTCCCCCTGTCGCCAACCACCACAAACATGGCGCGCTGCCGAGAGTGCACGCAGTTCTCCACTAGCACACGGATCCGGTTATCCACCTTCTTGCGCATCTTGATCCCCCTTGACTTGACAGCCTCAGATGAGTCGATGGATGTATGGATGGAAAGGGGCACCAGCGCTTTCCTATCTGACCTTCTCCCTTGTTCACAGTCCCTGATTCTTCGCGCTTCGCCTGTGGTCGCAGTTTCTCAGCTCATGCCCTTTTGAGCTCGCCCAGTTGGATCGCCTGCCGCCTTTTCTCTTGTGTTTGAGGCCGCAGTGGCTCTATCTGGGTCTCTTCTCCTCGGCAGCATCCATCGCTTCGCTGCCCTTCTTGCATGTAGACCTCCCCCGACGCCCTCTGACAGTCTGACGATGTCCTAGTTCTGCTGCATTCATCGCTCTCAGAGGAGATCTGAGATGCCCGGCGGGGCGTCCACCGATCCCGGGCCGTCCTCCTCCCGCCCCTCCCCACAGCCATCGTCCGGCACCGTGTCCACCGCACAAGCAGCAGACGCCGCCCGGGCACGATTCGACGGCTGCGAGAAGCTGCATCGGCTCCTGTTCGGCAACGCCCCTTCCAACACCAACCATGCAGATGCCGACGGGGATGCAGGCGGCGTCGAGGGGTTCCCTGAGGGCTGGCAGGTGTCGCGTGTGTCGGGTCTGACTGAGCTGCCGGTGTATGTGGTGGACGAGTTCATGCCGTCCGAGTGGGTCAAGGCCATCAAGAAGTGGTGCTTCGGGCACCTCAAGAACAAGGCCAACAGCATGCGGGCGGCCGTCGCCCGCGACGGCAAAATGGAGGCCGACCCCATCCGCACTTCGTTCATCTGCCGAGGTCTGCCGCCCCGTGAGCTGCTGGACCCACTGGTGACGCGCATAGCTGACGGCCTGGGGGTGCCCATGGAGCAGCTGGAGGTGTCCCGACCGTTCCTGTACCACAAGGGCCACCATTTCGGGCCGCATCACGACTCCGGGGCCTGGTGTGAGGAGCGGGGGCAGTTCTTCTTCGAGGGCTGCGGCCGGAAGGCACTGCAACTCAAGCGACTCGCAAGTAAGGCAGACAGACAACGGGAAAGGAAACAGAGAGTACGTATGGAAGTTCGTTTCTTCCGTGTCTGTATGTGCGCAGCGATGTTGGTGTATCTGAAGGGTCCGATGGCGGGCGGGTCGACCTTCTTCACGCGCGTCAAGGCGCCCAGCAGCTACGACATGGGCGTCCGGGTGGCGGCCCAGGAGGGGCGTGCGGTGCTGTGGCCCAACGTGACTGACGAGGGGCTCATCGACCAGCGTGCCGAGCATGCCGGTGAGGTGGTGACCCAGGGCACCAAGCTGGCCCTCAACATCTTCATACTCGAGGCCGCACCGCTGTCGGTCAGCGGGAAGGCGGGATCCATGGCCGGCCTCAACCCCTCACCGTACGCAGACAGGGAGACAGGGAGAGAGGGAGGGAGGGAGGGAGGGAGGGAGGCAAGGAGGGGGGCCTTCTGCATGTGTGTGTTGTGTTGTTTGTTGTATGTGTCAGCCCTCCGTGTGTGCAGCTGCCTGCGGCTGGCCCGCTCGGCCCTAAGCGGTACCGACCGGTGGGATTCGATACGGTCAGTCATAGCACTGCAACACACCACACCACACCACACCACACCAGCAGAGTGAAGAACTCTTCGGCCCGTGTGTGTGTGTGTGTGTGTGAACGTGACGTCAGGTTGAGGTAGCTGAGGACGAGCCGCCGTTGCGTTGGAAGTGGCATGAGGAGCTAGATTCGCTGGTCGAGGCCAAGGAGGCCTCCAACGGACAGCAGACGAACGAACGCAAGAAGTCCTTCAGACTCAGAGACAGTAAGTTGTGAGCCACCCACCCACCACACACCCAGCCCACCCCAACAATTGGTCTGTATGCCTTGCCGTGTAGGTAAGGGTTTCTACGATCCGGCCACCAAGGCATTTGTGCCCTACCACTCCCTGGTGGCCGGCAAGAAGAAGCGACGCACATCGAAGCCACCCCAACCCAACTCCCACACTGACAGCACCCCGGCCCACAGTAGTGTCGACAGTGCTGCGCCTGAGCTGCAGCAGCAGCAGCAGCCTGAGGGGCAGGGAGTGGTTGAGGGGACCGGGTCTGGTTTGGGTGTGTGTGATGTGGTGTCGTCTGAGGGTCAGGAGAGGAGGGAAAGCCCCGCATCTGGCGAGTGGGTCATTGGGTGACTGACGGACTCACTCATTAGCAAAAGGAGGGGGGTGAGTTTGGGGTCGGCGTAGACCAAACAAACAGGGGATATCTGTCTAGCTCTGTGTATGTGTGTGTGTGTGTGTGTGTATGTCTGCATGTAAGTCGGTATGCGCTTCGTACGTTTATATCATTGCCGTTACCATTATCATTATCATTATCATCATGTGTGTATCCTTCTATCTATCGTTTCATCGTGTATGTATGTATGTCTCGATCTATGGCTTATGTATGGGTCGTTTATACGAGAGCGATCGGGAGATACACTGACTGGACTAGCTGCTGAAAGCCGCTGGGGAGAGGGAGAGGAGAGAGAGAGAGAGAGAGAGAGGAGAGCTTCTACAACCCAACTCGTTTTTCAGCCCGTCTGTCTGCCTGCCTGTCTGTGTCCCTTCCTCTGCGTGCTTATCGTGCCATGAACATCATCAAGGCAATGTATGTATGTCTAGTGTCTGTTTTCCCTCTCGCGCCTCGCTGTGTGTCCCTCCCTTGCCGCCCCTTGAACCCTTACAGGGGCCTCAAACCTATGTGTGTATGTGCGTATGCATACCATCTATCGTTCCTCTTTGGCTGCCTCAATCTAATCTATCTATGACTCGCCCTTGATTTATTTGTCGCTGGCTGGTTTCGTGGGCGTGTCCGTGTCTGCTCTGTGCTTTGCTGCTTGCGATGGGTGGTGCTGGGTGCTCTAGTTGCTTTGCTTGCTTGGTTGGTTGACTGGCTGATTAGAGGGCTGACTCGGGGAAGGCTCTCAGACAGACAGATGGATGGATGGATATGGCTGACTGACGGCTGCCTACTGTGTGTACAGACAGACAGACAGGCTGGCGGACAGACAGACAGACAGACACTATCCTTTGTGCCTAGACATGCGTTCTATGTGACCCCATTCGTGTCACGTGCTCATTCAACCAGTACAATAGCACACACACCCACCAGTATCAAAGGGGACTTACACAGGGGACTAGGCCAGCAAGTATCCGTGACCTCGATAACCTGTGTGAGTTTGACCGGAGAATGACGTGTTCTTTGCCTTGGGTCCCTTCCCAGCAGCCACACGCGGCACTGATGTACACACAGCGTAGCTCAGGCTGCAAGTAGAAGTGCGAGGAATCCGACATGACTGAGCACATCATCTCCCTCGCGTATTCATTGGATTCAAAAACTGCCGCGAGGCTGCCGTCCGTTCGTCTATCCTTGCCGTCTGTGCTGTGTGCCATTCTTAAGAGAGACACTCATTCATTCTGCCTCACGTCTGTCTATCGAGACATCCCTCGATCGTCTGATGCAATCGTACACGGACGGCACATACATTAAGGCAACAAAGGCCGCCACCACCTCCTAGAGAGCCACAAAACGGCGACACGCACCTCATCTATCTCACACAGTGCATTCATCACTGCTGTGTCGGCCTGCTGTGTTTGAGCAACACGTGAGCCACCCCCCACACACCGCCCCCCTGGTAGCCAAAACACTCGGCCACGGCCAGGTAGAACATCCGCCACCTGACCACATGCGCACACAGCGAGAAGGCATGGCATGGGTGTGTCGGGGAATGGTACATACGTGTGCAGTGTCTGCGCACCTGTTGAACCATCTGTTGGCTGCCTGTGCGCCATAGGTGTCCTCAAACGCACCCATCAACTCGCTGTCCTGCACACACAACACCAACACACACACACACACTCACACTTACACAGAATATGCGCCCATCCATCCATCCATCCATCCATCCATCCATACGCACCTGTCTGTGTTTGTCGAGCGTCTTGAGCCACGTCTCCGATGTCAGCTGATAGTGGGTGCCGTCAACGTACCACCGCTGCTCCTCAGTCAGAGGCAGCACCGACCCACCATCACTGTCACTGTCCCCTCGGTGCAGCTGCTCCACCAGGTCGAGGGAAGGCATGATGCCGCCTGTGAAGAAATACTGCGTCATCCAGTCTGGTTGCCACACAGACACACACCACACATAATGAGAAGGGCATGGGATGGATGCATTGACCAGACAGACCAGTCTGCGCTCACCCGTGGCGTCGCGGACTTCGAACAGATAAGGGAACGTCTTGTGGCAGAAGAAGTGCAGAAACATCCGCCCCTCGCCGTCCTGCCTCAGCCACCCACCGCACCGGCTGAGCAGCTCATGCCAGTTGCGCATGTGCTCAAACGACTCGATCGCCATGATGCGGTCAAACCCGCCGGCAATGCCGCCCTCCGTCGGGAAGGACAGCTCATTGGCGTCGCACGTGATGACGTTGGTGCGGTCTTTGAGGCCCATGGCTGCGGCCTTGCTCTCGATGAACAGCCGCTGTGGCTGGGAGTTGGACACCGAGATGACAGTGAGGCTGGGGAAGCGCTTGAGGAGGTAGAGAGTGAGGCTGCCCCACCCACAGCCCAGATCTAACACACGCATCCCTGCAGGCACCAAGCACAACCACAGCCCATACCGTGGGTGTGCGTGTGAGCATGGGTGTTTGTGTGTCGTGCCTACCGTCGTGTATGTCTGCCCTCTTGACGTAGAGGTCGAGCATGGCCTCCTCTGCCTCGGCCAGCGACGCCGACGGACTCTCAAACAGACAACAGCTGTACTTCATATACGGACCTGACACACACTCACACACCACACCCACTGGCATGCTCGTCTGTCCGACCCACCTGCAGCATCCCCGTTGTCTTGCTTACCGAGCGTCTTTTGGAAGAATATGGTCGGCAGCTCATAGTGTTGCTCGTTGGCCTTGTCGGTGTCCTCAGCGATGCGGCCTCGACGCAGCTTATCGACGACCCTTGCCTTCTCGACCTCGCCGCCGTTGACCAGCTCAGCGTGGCGCTGACTCAGCAGAAGCCGGATGCCTGCATGGCGCCACACACGCAGAGTGCTCATGCAGGCGCCACGTGTGCTTGGTGCAAAGTGACTGTTTTCGTGCAATTACCTCTTCTGACGATGACTTCGGGCACCCATCCCCTCTCAATGAGGTCCAGCAGGGCCGTGAACACATAGCTGTACAGATCACCCAGCCTCTTGCCCAGCATCGTCGGCAGGCGGTTCAATGCACAGATCTGGCACAGATCTCGATAGCTACAGTCTATGTGGATGATGCTAAGCGTCGGAATCGCCTCTGCCGTGCCGATCGCCCGTGAGCTCGCGCCGATCGGGAGCGCTGATTCCTCCTTCCGACGACAGATCTCTACCTCCAGGTCTCTCTGCGGAGGATGAGTGCGAGCCCGAGTACCGCCCCCCAGTCCCCCCCACCGCAGTGGGCACAGCAGCGCGTCAAGCAGGAGTTTCTGCAACTTCTTCATGGCAACTGGCGCACATACGACAAAGACCGCCCCTTAAGCAGCCAGAGGCTTCCCCTTGGTCCGTTCAACTGGCCGAGGGGAAGGGTAGCCTCCGACAAGCGACCAGAGTCCTTCAGGCTGGGGCACTGCAGACGGCTGAGGGACCTGAAAGGGCGCCAACTCGCCTGTGCCATCGATGTTGCACTTCGGCAGGAGTTCGTCGATGAGCTGAACAAGCAGCTGCCCCCTCCGCTCAACCTGGAAGTGGAGAGCGCATCTCTTGGATTCCCAGAGCGAAGCCACATGACGACTGAAAACTTCGGTAAGAGGTACAGCATTTTCTTCGTGACATGCTGTACCTCTCTCACTCTTCTCGCAGAGTTAATAAACAAACACCAAGCAGCTCCGTCCTTCAACCTCCGTTCCCACCCCCTCCCCTCCTCCACTCCAGATGCACACGAGGCCGGCCAGGTGGCTGAGGGCGCTGGCGCTTCTGCTGCCTTTGCCTCTGCACCGGCCGCTTCCGAGCTGCAGCAACACGAGCCACCGAAGGCTCTTCAGAAGGAGCATAGTGCCAGTGCAGTAGCACCAGCAGCACCAGCAGGCGGGAGCTTCTTCATCGAGTACCGTGGCTACCCGCCCAAGGACCCGCAGACGTCACAGCAGCCGGCATCAGCGCACTCTGGCCGCCTGCTTCCGTCAGCGCGCATCAAATTGAAGGACTGGGCAAGCTTCAGCTTCACCTACGACTACCAAGACAAATGGGACTTAGTGAAGAGGCGCAGCTACTGTCTCATCTGCGAAGTTTTCTACAACAGCTTTGGGAAAACTGAGCATCCGTGCTTCAAGCGGACTCGATCTGTGCCTCCCAAGCAGCCCACCACACCCAACCAGCAGGTGCCCACCATACAGCCACATGCCCGGCGTACCGAGTCTGCGACAGCGCTGCCAAGCGACAGACCCAGCGATCAGCAGGTAGGACGTCAGACGATCCACCCAGCCGTGTATGTTTCTCCTGTGCTGCCTTGCAGGGCCAAGTGGTGGACGAGTCAGCTGCGGTGCGAATGGCGGATGGGTTTACCGAACCAATCACCGGCCTCAGCCGACAGGTAACAGGGCAGACACGACGGCGACAACTGAGGCCTTTTGTCTGTCTTAACTTGGCTGGCTGCAGGCCACCACCTGTCCACCAGACGACGATGCTGCTGGTGGCGATCGGCCGCTCGACACACAGTCGCAGACGTCAGAGCCATCAAACACCATGAAGGTAAGCAGGACAAGAGGGCTCACTCATCTTTTCAACAAAGCAGCATATTTGATTGTCTCTGTTGTCGTTCAGATGCCACCGTCAGAGAGCCGACAGACCGACGAAAGGCAGCTAAACAAGATCCAAAAGACCCCCACACGCAGCCACCGAGAGGGCCCGCCGTCTGTGGTGAGTGAAACGCAATGAAATGGACACCCACACAGACGGGGAGGCATTGTGAGTTTGTGTGTGCAGGTGCTGTCCCGTTCATCGGTCAAGTCTGTGTTAACTGTCACTGCCGACGATCGCCTCAGTGACATACGAGAGGTCAGACTGACGCAGACAAACCCGACAGCAACTCACTTGTCGTACATGTCTCTTGTACTCTTATCAGGACGATGGTGATGTCGTCAGTGTGTCTGACGGTGTGCCGGATGGCATCACGGCTCTCTCAAGTCGCAGCACGACAGACGGGGACGACCAACCGCCCGACCCACAGGTGAGAGTCCCCATGGGGTGATTGCAGTGTCACAATTGCCCTCACCTCCCTCTTTATGTATGCAGGTGGTCGTTGGCAGCAGTCTGAGTTCCACTGAATGTGCGGCCCTCCACTCCGTCTTGGCGCTCGGCATGTGGGACGAATGTGAATTCACCCTGCTGTACAGGTGCGACACACAAACCACATCACAGACACTGCAATCAATCATGTGTCGTTCTCTGTTGTCCCTGATGTTCTCAGGGCTTCGCGTGACGGCGCAGAGTACGGCGACTTGCTGCGCTGTGTGGGCGACACGAAGGGCCTGGTGTTCCTCATCCGCAAGGACAGGTACGTTTTTGGCGTCTCTATGAGTGCCGGCATCCGGCTGCCCGACCACCCAGGAGGCAACAACACCTACATCTGTAATGGGTGGCATTTTTCTCTAGCCGGCCACTTCGCCGAACCAACCACGGCGTGGGGAGACAGGCAGACAGTGAGAGTGGCCGGGCGGCGGGGGGGGCTGCCAGTGTATGGGGCGAGGCTGGGGATCGGTGGGCTCAGTAGGTGCCTGTGGTTAGGTAAGGGTGGCGCTGCTGCTGGTTCCATGTGCAGCTGCGGTCAGTGGATCCACATCGATGATGTGCCTGATGGCTATGTGGGGGTGAGGGAATCCGATGAGTATGGCAGTGCTCTGTTTGGGGGCAGTAAGTCCTTCATGGCAGACGAAGTGGAGGTCATTCGTGTTGAGAGCCTGTCGCTGCTCTCACTCAAGGTCACACACACGTCAGCGAGAGAGAAGTATAGATGTGCTGATCATCCTGCCTTGTGTTTTTTGATTGCAGGTGATTGAGGGTGCAAACTTTGATGCGCTCCAGTCGGCGGCACTCGATCGGTTTCTCGGACCGACAATTGCGGGCAGACTGAAACTCATCTACAGGTACCCTGCTCTTGTCATTGGCATCGTCCATCGTTTGACTCCGTGTGCCTATCTGTGCGTGTCTGCGTGCGTGTGTGCGTGTGTGTTCTTCATTCAGGGCATCACGTGACGGGCCGTCGTATGGCGATCTGCTGCGGTGTGTGAACGATGCGAGTGGCCTCGTGTTCGTCATCGGCAAGGACAAGTACGTCTTCGGCGCCTTCATCCGTGCCGGCATCCGGCTGCCCAATGACCCAAGAGGCAACAACACCTACATCTGTGATGTGTGGCATTTCTCGCTAGCCGGCCACTTCATCAAGGGACCTACCAAAATGGGTGATGGCTGGCTGCCAGTGCATGTGGCCGGGCGGGAGGGGAGGCTGCCAGTGCATAGGGCGAAGCTGTGCATCGGTGGGATCGGTTGTAGCCTGGATTTGGGCTGTGAGGATGGCGCTCCTGCTGATATGCGCAGCTGCCGTCATTGGCTCCCCAGCCGTTATGTGCGTGATGGCTATGTGGGGGTGAGGGAAGGTGAATATGGCATTGCCCGGTTTGGGGGCAGTGAGTTTTTCATGGCTGACGAAGTGGAGGTGCTCACCGTGGTGTGAGTGTGAGGTCAGATCAATTGAGGGGTCTCTGATGGCTGTGCTATATGCGTATTGCCTTTATTCAGCTGTGAGGCGGCCTCTCTGGTCTCGGCCCTCTGTGTTCGTTGTGTCCGCGTCATTGGTGCGATGTGGTCTGTCGCAGCGTGTTTCAGCGAATGTGTGACCGTCAAGTGCTGTGTGTCGACACGTGCGTCTCTCATTGGCACGGGCGCAGAACAGGCAGCCAGAAGAGAAAGAACAGGCAGTGGAAAACGTGTGTGTGGGTGGGTCTGCCTGTGGGTGTGCGAATGGCGACACCTGCGGGATGTGGGACGTGAAAGCCCGTGTGTGCCTTTAGGTGGCGAATGTCTTGGCCTCTCTGTCTTTTGTCTAGTTGCATTGCTCAATGCGAGATTGAGCATCGCATCGGTTGGTGCTCGTCTGTGGGTGAGTCTTCGTGTCTGTGTGTCTGTGTGTGGATGCGTCTGTGAGTGGGTGTCTCGTCTCTTGCCGAGTCTCTTTGTCTCTTGTTCGGTCTGCGTGTCACGTCGCAGGTGACTCATACTTCATGGAGTGGTGAAGGAAGGCGCCATCCAGCGCGGATGGCGGCCAGGCTACTTCCTAACGGCTGTAGCTGTAGCTGTAGATAGAAAGAAGAGGTGGAGAGGGAAAGCTCGGCGGCTGAATGCGTGGAGCGACTTTGATGGCCGTGTATTTGTGAGTGTGACTCTTACACATCTGAGCTCATTGAATGTGTGGGTGCCATGGCAGTGGGTCACGTCACCCACCCACAACCATCACAAAACACATACGCGTCCAAAGCTCAGGCAGGTATGTAGTCTCTTATGACATGAACTCGGCCAACTGCACAACCCAACTATCCGTCGTGCGACCCTCTTCCTTGCTGCCCGTCTCACCGTTCTCCTCCCCCTCCTCCTCCCCCTCCTTGTTGTCGAGGCTGTCCTTTTCCGCCAACCGAAGGCCCTCGACAGCGTAGTCTCGCTGGGTGGGGCTGTGGGTAACCGAAGACGTCAGCTGCCGGGTGTGTAGCTCCTGGGCAGCCGTGAAGCGCTGTGTGTTACGCAAGTGAGTGTCTTGAAAGCATCACACGGTACCGGATGCCCACAGTGGAATAATTGCCCACCCACAGTCAGTTCACCCCATTCATTCGACAGAACAGATGGCCGGCAATGCAAAAACGAGCGTGTGCATGCACCGACCGCCGACACTCTCAGATATCACCCCACACACAACACACATCCTCACTCTGCGCCGTCACCCCACATCGGCACAGAGTAAGGGTCACACATGACACACCACCCACGTAAACGCGTACTGTATATGCACGTGTTTCGCTCCACTTACGCCCTCCAATCATTGCCTCAAGCCGCACAACCACAGAGATTGGAAGGAACGGCACCGTGATAAAGGTGAAATCCGCTTCCCAGAAAGAAACGAAGTGCCCTTCAGCGCGCGTTGGCGTCCCATGGATGTGAGTCCGGAAAGGACAGCAGGTCCTGGGTTGTCGTGACAAGAAGGACGCATTTCTGCTCTAACTCAAAAAGCTCCTTCCGATTGACTTTCAATCGGAAGGGAAGCCGAACAGCAACCACTCATCATGCAGCGAGCCGGAAGCAGTCTTCCAGCTCCTCCTCTTGCAGCTCCTTCCTTTTCTGTCCCACATCACGCAACCGGTGGTCATGTCGTCTTACGTCCCGCCCTCCGCCTCCGCCCTCCTGCCGCTCGAGCGGGCTCTGGCAGGCTACGTGCCCAAGTTGAAGCCCCCTCAATGGATGGGCCCACCTGTCCTGCAACTGGGGGAGAATCCCATCGACAAGCTGGGCGCCCTGTGCCATCACTACCTCCAGACGGAGGGGGAGACCGCCCACACCCTCACGGTTGTCGCTGCTGTGTACACGACGCTCGTGCTGCGTCTCATGGCGGCCGCGGAGAGCACCCGAGGGTGTCAGATCGTCATCGACCACCATCCCGTCGGGTTCTGGCGAGTGGTGATCAAGGGCCAGAAGGAGTTCAACCACCAGTACCGCATCAATCTGGCGCTCGAAGGTCAGGCAGACAGACAGGCAGGCGATTGGTGTGGGCAGCGTGCCTATGTGTGCGCCCTTGATGGCAACATAGGCGCGTGTGTACCCTGATTGAATGTGTGTGTGTGTGTGTCATGCAGGGAAACTCAAGCCCGAGTTCGTGCACGACCACGCGGCCCATTCGAGTTCGTTCAACATGAGCGGTGGCTACGACAACCGCTTCTTCATGGCCAAGCTTCAAGGAGCCGTCGTGGGCGGGCCCTTCTTCTCGCCTGTGGGGGCCAGCGCTGCGAAGCGCTATCTCCGCTGGCTGTCGCGCGGCTTCATCCAGACCGAAGACGGCGAGATGACCCAGCAGAAGGAGGACATAGGCATCGCAGAGCTGAATCCTATGTTTGAGTTCCCGTACTGCAGCCCCTTGCGGCCGGACGGAGGATACCACTACTACTTCATGCACAAGAAGAGGCTGCACCGCCTCGACAACTACGGTGAGGGCCGCGGCAGACAGTGATTCACTGCATATGAGTCTGCATCCATGTCTTGTTGTGCATTGCTGCAGCTGCTGACACGGTCAGCAGCCACACCAGAGGCCTGACTGATGTCGAGCGCACGACGATCCAGTTTCCCATCAACAACCGCCCGCCCCAGGTACGTCGGCGAACACTGACAGATGCAGACAGGCATCGACGGACGTGTGTCTGAATGTGTGTGTGTGCGTGTGTGCGGTCATGCAGGACGGTAACACCGTTCCTTCTGACGAGGAGAAAGCGCAGGTCATGGAGCGGCTGCGGCAGGTCTCGCCGATGAGCGCCCACATCTACGAGATATTCGGCGGCGACTACGGGGCCATTTACAACATGCCGCTGGAAGCGGCTGGTGAGCGGATCATTCAGGTGGTCGACAGCTACTTCACCAAGTGAGCAGTGCACGGCTGTATTTTCCGGCAGGCGGAATACACATCGGCCGGTCGGCCTGTCTCTGTTGGCCAAATGTGTGTGCAGGAAGCCCATGGAGTGGCTCACGCCTGACGGAGCCATCCAAGCGGGCCGCTTCGCCACCATCCCGACAAGGTTCTAGCCGGACTGACACAGGTGCACTTTTTCAATGCACGTTTTTTCCAATGACGAGTGACGCGTCGTGCTCCTTTGCATCCGTCGATGTGGTCTCTGGCTTGCCGGTCAGACACACACACACACACACACACACTAACACTGACACACTCAGAGACTCGTTCGTTTTTGATGAGAAGGGCAGGGCGATATGTGCACATGGCCGTCATGGCAGTCACCGTGTTTTCTCTGCAGTCACCGCCGTACCTGCCATGTCGACACACACACGGATGGATGGACGGACGGACGGACGGATGGATGGATGGATGGGTCATCCGCTCTCTCTCTCCCCCTGTCTGCGTTGGGTGCGCGCGTGTGTGTGTGCGTCTGAGTGTGTAGGTTTCTGTGTCGATGCGCGTCTTCTCGGTGCATGTACACTACGTGAGCCGCCGAGAGAGAGAGGCAGAGGGGCACTTTGATCGTTTTGCTGCGCAGCAGCTGGGGGCGCTGTCTTTGTTTTGGATCGTGGTGCCATTTTGCGTGAGATCAAGAACCGTTTATCGTATCAGTGGCTATCACTGACACGGGAAGCACCAGATCAAGTCATTCCTTCTTGTGCACAACCCAAGAGTCTGCCTTTCAACCACTGTCACGCGATGGATGGAGGGTTTGGTGAAACCCTGAACCCCGGCAAGCTTGTGGAAGATCTCGCAGCTCATCTCACGATGATCTCCGCGGACGACATGGACAGCATCTTCCACTCCCGGTTCACCTACGTCTTTGTGCCGGCGGACATCGACAGCCAGGCGGAAGTGCGTGCCTTCTCGGGCAGGGAGGGCGACTTCAAGAACTGCATGCGGGAGCACTTCCAGCGCAACGCACTCAAAGACAGCGACAGACCCAAACTCAAGCAGAGCATCCAGGACCAAATCGACGAGCAGATGAGGCGTCACAAGCCCAGCCAGGGGGAGGGAGAGGGAGGGGGAGGGGAAGGCGAGAGCAAGATCACCGACGTGACCGACGACGAGACGACCGCGGCTTCAGCAGCTGCTCCTGAGAAGGACAAGGCCACCGGCTCATCGTCGCGAGGTTTGGCTGACTCTGAGATGATGGATCGGCTGGTGGAGGCAACCAGCAACTACCAGATCATCCCTCTGACCCTGCCGATGAAGGCCAATGGGTACATCGGCATCAACGCGTACATCGACGACATCGGCCGCATCAAGGACCTCCCCGTCAACGCACGGGCGTCGCGCATCACGTCGGAGGACATCAGGTGGGTGGGTGCGTTCCCCCCTCCCCCCCAACTCACACAGAGACAGGCAGGCAGGCAGGCAGGCACCATTCTCTCTCTGCTCACGTCACGTCATGTGTGCTGCATTTGTGATGTGTCCAGGGGCGACTGTTTCATCAGCAGCACCTTCGACGACGAGATGGACTTCCGCCGCGAGAGCTTCGACAAGCGCGACTACGAGCGCATGCTCGAGAACCCTCCAGAGTCCAGGGGGCGGTGGAACATCAGCAACGCACTGCAGCAGCTGCACGCCGCCGCCGCCCCGCAACCTGACACTACACAAGCACCGGCCGAGAAGAAGTGCCACAACTGCGGTAAAAGGGCTGCCGGGGACGGGGAGGTGGCGGGAGAGGGGGAGAGAGGCGCTGACAGGGGCGATGGTGGTGATTCGGTCAACAGGGTGAGGCTGCAGCAGTGTGCCAGGTGCAAGCGGGTCGTCTACTGCTCTAAAGACTGCCAGGTGGGTGGCTGGTGGCTGGTGGGTGGGAAATGAGATAGATGAACGTGATCTGATCCACGCGCGTGTGTGTGTGTGTGTGTGTCGTCCTCATCTCATGTGTGTGTAACAAACAGGTGAAGGACTGGAAGTTCCACAAACGGGTCTGCAAAGCCTCCTGACTGAGACGAATGAATGACGTTGGTGGTTGGGTTGATGCGATCGATGGATGCATGGCATGGAGTGCAGTGCATACAGGGCAGGGCAGGCTGCTTTATCCACGTCAGTCAGTGAGGGCATCCATATCCATCCTCTCTGCCTCACCTGACCCGTCTGTGTCTGTCGTCATGAGCTGACCTTGTGTCTGTCGGTCGGTCGGCAGGCTGCAAGGGTGGGTTTTTGTGTTTGTGTGGGAGGGAGAGACTGCATGGGAGACTCAGAGATGCTGTCGGTCTGTGTGTCCACTTTCTTGCGATACCACTAGCACGGCACGGCCCTAATGGGAAAGGATGCCGTGTGGGAGATGAGATGGCGGAGCGAACATCTGGACAGACAGACAGACAGACACGCCGACGGCCGGCATGTGTGTATGCGGCCAAGACCGAGGTGCTTCTGTTGCAACGTGTGCCCACCTTCTCTGCACTCATACTCTTGACGCTCTCATACTCATATACTCTTGAGGACGGATGGAGCGAGGCGTCACGATCGTTCATCAACCCGGCCACTTGTTTAGTGTAGGGTTTCCACAACCCTGTAGGGTTTCCACAACCCACAACCCAGGCAGATCTCCCGCTACCTCCTCAGCCATGGAGTCATCGGTTGCGACGAATGGTGTTCACAGTGATAAGCAGCACGAGACCGCCGAGGATACCCTTCGCCTGGACCTGGATGAGCTGCGGGAGCTGCGCAAGGCAGCCACACGGCCTGCGGTGCAGGACCTCCTCGACAAGCGAATAGCGTCGCTGGGAGAACAGATCAAGGTACGGTGCGCATGCTGGTGGGCAGGCATGATGATCTATCTGCCAAGGACGCTGGATGACGTGTTTGGTGTGTATGCAGCGGTTGGCCGAGTCGCGGATGCCGCAGCCGGTGCCGACGGACAGCAAGACATCACACGCGACAGCTGACACACCAAAGGTAGGTGCACAACTACACACAAATGCTGCGAGAGTGATCTTGTGTTCATCACGTCTCTGTGTGTGGTTCGGCATGCTGTCTGTGTGTCAGGTGGAGGGTCAGGTTCGTTTCAGCAGCATCCAGACGTATGGCTGGGACCAGGACGGCAGTGACGTCAAGTGAGACACACAGACACACACACAGACACAGACACACAGAGAGGCGCACATGCACCCGACAGGCGAAACACGCTGGTTTCCGGTGTGTGTGTGTGTGCAGGTTGTACATAGATCTCCCAGGCGTTCACGAGATCCCCTCCGAGAACGTCCGGATGGCATTCCACGAGGAGTCCATCGACCTACAGGTAGAGGTGACGCGGAAAGCGTTCATGCGCACACCGAACCCCCCGACAAGCACCACACCCATTTGGCGTCGTGCGTCGTGCGTCGTGTGTCAGGTCGTGGGCCTGAAGGGCAAGAACCACCGGCTGACCGTCCGTCGTCTGAGCAAGCCCATCAACGTCAGCAAATGCACCTACAAGGTCAAGAAGAACGCCGTGCACATCACACTCAAGAAGGTGACTACACGGACACACACATGCACACATGTGCACGTGCCGTCTGTCTGCACAACCGATGATCTGCGTGTCGTGTGATGTGTGTGTGGCTCAGAGGGAGAGCGGCTGGTGGGAGCAGATCCACTGGAAGGAGAACAAGGTAGGTACCCACACACGCATACACACATACACAGAACAGCAGGGCACCTCACCTCCCATGACATGGCGTCCTGTGTCCCTTTCTGTGTGTGTGGTGTGGTGTTGTGTGTTGTGGTGCAGTTGTCGAGCATGTCCAAGAACAAGGACATGGGTGCCGACCCCAACGCCAGCATCATGAACCTCATGAAAGACCTCTACCAGGAGGTGCGTGGACACACCACACCCACAGACACGCCTGCATGGACGTGTGCTGACATCCATCCATCCATGTTGTTCAGGGTGATGACGACATGAAGCGCATGATCGCCAAGTGCTGGGTCAGTAAGTCAATCACCCACCCACCCACCCACCACTCCCAGCACAGCCAGGCCAACACAGTCGTGTTCTGTTTGTGCTCTGTGTGTCTGTGTCTGTGCACAGACGGAGACCCAGGAGAAGAAGACGGCGGGGCTGGACCCTTCGAGCCTTGGCGGCATGGGCGGAATGGGCGGCTTGGGTGGCATGGGTGGCATGGGCATGGACTTCGACAAAGACATGGATGACCTCTGATTGACCGGCCGGCCGACGGCCGAAGCTGACCACCCGCTCGCCCCTTTCCTTGCACGGCACTGTGTGTGTGGAGCTGCATGGTAGGGATGTGGGTACACACATGAATGTATCTGTCTATCTATCTATCTAGGATACATAACGGACCGACTGATCACCTTTTTGGTTCACTTACATCAGATGAGGGAGGGAGGGAGGGGTGCGTGCAGACAAGGAAAGCTGCGTCTCCAATGAAGATTGACGACTTTCTGCCGAGCCTTCCTTCATGAGGACGCGGGTGAATCGTGTCCTCACGAACACCACACCAAGCAGAGGGTCAACAATCTTCCTTGAGACGAGGCAAGATTTTCGCAGACAGACAGGCAGATCCATACTTATTTCCCTACCGGCATCATCCTTTGCTGTCTCTAACAAACGACGCACACCCCCCTCGGACAGCGCCGATGGGATGTGTGTGGATAAGACGAACACGGCAGTGCACTGTGGGTGGGTGACGGAGAGGGCACCGAAGCGAGCTTTTACACACATACATGTACCCATCTCTGCCTGTGGTACGTGAGAGTCTCTGCCGCACCTGGCGGGCATTACTTGTGGGTTCATCCTGTGCGACGTGCGGGGCTCTTCCGGTGCTGAGGGTGATGGCTTCTCTGCCCCACACAGCCTGTGTGTCAGAGAAACCGTCCCCGTCGGGACAGGAGAAGCTCTCACGACCACTTAAGCTTGTGAACACCCGTGTTGATTGAGCGGGGGACTGAAAGTGACGCGAATGCATGTTTGTCAGCGCGTCGGCAGGATTGATGGCATGGTGGTTTGGTTAGCAAGCAACGTATGCGTTTGTTAACCACAGAGGGTCTTTACACCCGCGATTAATGCGAATCACGTCGTTCACCAGTCAGTCTCATCACGCACACCATCACAGCGCACCACCGCATGCAATGCCTCCGTTTGGAGAGACAGACAGACAGCGGGCCGCATCAGCACGAAAAAACACACCCGCCGACCCACCCACACATCTCGGGTGGGAACACACGCTCTAGGATAGATAGCGAAGTGCCCCTTTCCCCCTCCCTCCCCCTCCCCTCTCTGATGACATTCATCGTTCTCACAGCGGTGTGCCCGCCGTGCTGAAGTGCAGCACCCTCAAGTCGCTGAAAGGCGGGTCGGCACTGACCACATGCGCCCCCCTCTCTGTGGGGCTGGTGATGAATATCCTGCCCTTGGCGTTGGTCTCCTCCGCGGCCTTGAGCATGCAGTCGGCCACGATCTGCTCCGCCCTCTCGCCCTTCCTCTGACTGTAGATGTCACCCTTGGCACCGCTCGTCAAGGCGAAGATCGCCGGCCCCGCACCGGACAGACAAGCGCCGTGAGAGCCGGCCTTGATGGCGGCCGCAACCAGGGGGTAGAGGTGGGGGTTCTGTGCGGCCCGGTAGGGCTGGTGCAGGCTGTCCTCCATGGCCATCTGGAGCTCCTTCATGTTGCCCGTCGCGAATGCGTTGGCCAGCAAAGCCGCTCGACTGACGTTAAAAATCGCGTCCTTTCGAGGCACCTTGTCTGGGAGCACGGCGCGGGCAGCCGAGGTCTCGAGAATGTGGTCGGGGAGGAAGAGGACCGCCTGCAGGCCGGGGCCCATCTGAATGCGGCTGGTGTACCACCTGTCGCCAGTGTGCACGCCGATCTGCAGGCCGCCGTAGATGGCCGGCGCCACGTTGTCCGGGTGGCCCTCGATGCCACACGCCAGCTGTAGCAACGCCTCCTCGCCCTCCACCGGCAGCTCGTGGCCCGTCAGCACCAGGCCCGCCACAAGGCCAGACACGATGGCGGCGGAGCTGCTGCCCAGCCCCCTGGCGAAGGGGATGCGGTTGACGCAAGTGTACTTGAGTGTGGGCACCGGCTTCCCCGCCGTCTTGAAGGCCGCCCTCATGCCCGTCACCACCAGGTTGCTCTCGTCCCGCGGCAGCCTCTCGGCGCCCTCGCCGTCGATGGCTATCTCGAAGACGTCGCTGCGCTCGACGGTGAGGTCATTCCAGATGTCCAATGCCAGCCCGATGCAGTCAAAGCCGCTGCCCACGTTGGCACTGGTGGCCGGCACACGCACTGTGACCGACTGCCGCTCGCCTGTGCGCCGGGTTGGGCCGCTGCTGCTGCCGCCGCCGCTGCCTGTGCTCGTGCCCGTGCCGTTTGTAGGCTCCATAGCTATGGACCAGGCGATGACGATAAAGGGGAGAGGAGGTCGGGAGGTCTGCAAGCCAAGCTCGCAAACGGGAAGGAAGTCCAGAATATATTTCGTTCGAGTTTGTATGCTCCTGGGCCGTTGTTCGGTGAGCATCTACCGCAGCTTCTTTCCGTCCGCTCGGTCGTACTTTTCTCTCCCCTCGTCTATGGGCGGCAAGCCCTCTGCAGCCAGAGGAGAGATCATGGGGTCAGTGAAGGAGATGGTCGACAGCAGCATCGCCAACAACAAAGTCATGGTCTTCTCAAAGTCGTAAGCTGCTCACTGCCACATGCACACACGTCGTGCGCGTGACGAGACAGGCTTGCTGCTGCTGCATGTGTAATGTGGTGTGGTGTGCTTTGCTGGTGTGTCTTAGCTATTGCCCGTTCTGCCAGCGCGCCATCAGTGCCCTCCAGAACCTGGGCATCAAAGCACTGGTGACCACACATCACACATGCAGAGATCTGCTGCTGCTGCGTGTACGTGTCTGTGTGTGCTGTGCGATGTGTGTCTGTGTGTGCAGGAGGTCAAGCAGATCGAGAACGAGCCCAACATGAATGAGATCCAGGATTACCTCAGTAGCCTCACCGGTGGCCGCAGCGTGCCCCGCGTGTTTGTGGGCGGCAAATTCGTCGGCGGATGTGACGAAACGGTATGGCCATTATCGATGGAACAGCAGCACCGACTGTGTGCAGAACACCATTGCCATCGGTGTGTGTGCATGTGTGTGTGTGTGTGTGTGTAGATGACGGCGATTTCGAACGGCTCTTTGCAGAAGATGCTGACGGACGCGGGCGCCATCTGAAGCACAACCACGTGACGACCGTGTCTGTCTTTGAACTCGATTTTGCTCTGGCTGGATCATTATTGCGTGCACGTGGCGTCCCTCCCTGTCTTCATAACTATGCATAGGCAGCTGCTAAGGGATGCCTGGATTTTGCGTTTGTGTGTGGCGTGGAACGGTGTGGGTGTACAGTTGTCGCTGTGCGGAAAGAGGCGCGTGGTCGTGATGCGGCTGTCTGTCTGTCTGTTTGTCCGTCTTGTCGATGATACTGATGGTCTAGCCTTGCGTCAAGGCATCCACTCTTGCCTTGGTGGTTGGGTTTCCGTCAGCTCACGCTCTCCTCACTTCTGTAAACCAGCGGGTGAGGTAGTGCGTGGGCCTGCTGACAGTCGACCAACGGGGCAAGGGGGACGTCTGTCTGATGCACCTCCCACACGGAATGGTCTGTACGTGAGTGGACTTACTCTCTCTTCATCCCGTGCATGCCACTTCTTGTTCGTCCGGTTTGCTTCGGGCCTGCATCTGCGGTCTCGCCTTCCGATAGCACGGCGAGCGAGATGACGGATGCAGGGGCTGCGAGTGACCTGGCTTATAAGCGTGGCACCGGTGACTAGCCGCTGATGGAACAAGTTTCTCGGTCTTGTCTGCTTCCATGCGCCTAGCTGTGGACCGACGTGAATGTGCTGCATTCATCTCATCAAGAAACATTTGCAGCCGTGCTGGCCTTCCTTCCACACAATGACACAACAGAAGTTGACAGATAAACGAATCGATGTGCATGACGGCAGTTTGTGCGTCCACAGGCGCACATACACACAAACACACACACGAAAATGGTGACATGATGAGCAAGAGGCCTCTCTGTCTACGCCCATAAGTGGAGGGCTACACGACCTAAGTGAGTCAAGAGAGGGACGGCCCCATCAGAGCAGCAACGAACTCCCTCACAGAACATCAAACAACCCCCGCCCCACCACAGTGGGCGCAGCTAGGTAGAATCCCTCTCACCCCACAATTGAAGCCGCAACGCCATAGCGCCCTTCCGGGCAGTCACGGTGCCGCTTCCTTGGGGCTCGTGTCTTTGGGGCTTTTGTCTTCCGTGCCCTCGGTGGTCGCTGATGTCCTCCTGAAGCCGAATATGCTAGTCATTCTCTTGCGCAGCCCGGCGGTGGTTGGGGTGAAGAGCTTGGCGGCCTCGGTGAATGGGGAGGTGAACGGGGAGAAGGGGGAGTTGCGCCTGCCCTCTGTCGCGCCCTTGTCGTTGCTCATGCGGCGGGTGACGGTCCGCCGACCCTCATAATGTGCCCTGGAGACAGACAGACAGCATACAAACGAACGATGCCTGTGCTGATGCCACCCGCCACCCAGGCACGTGGACCTGTTTCTGGTGATCTGTGGGAGGCACTCTGTGTTGACCTCTGGCACACACTGCCCGAGGGCCTGTCGCCAGTACAGTGCGCACGCAACACATGAAGCTAAAGCGTATCGAATATGTATGCCTGTCTGCGTGCTGGCCGACTGACGAGGTAGAGCGGGTGTACGAGGACGTCGATGAAGCCCAGCTGGCACTTGGACACGGCAGTGGTGTCTCGGTCGAAGAAGGGGCTCACAGGCAAATGCTTCTGCTTCTCCAAATCTCCCTGCCTGCACACACCCACGCCCACACACACACACACACACACAGAAAGCCCTGTCTCTCTCTGTGCGTGAGGGTGGGGGTGGGGGTGACCTGAAGAATTCCTCCATGACGCGTGGGACCCATTTGAGGTAGCACTCGAGCGGTCTGGTGGGATTGCTGATGTCAGCAGCATGCAGGATGATGTTCAGCAACAACTGCAATCACACCCAAGCAACATTCAGAGAGACACGACCGACTTATAAGGTGCTCCCTCATTCTTGTCCTTACCTGTTTGTCGTCCCCTTTGGTGGACGGGAAGTCCTTGCGCGTCATTTTGGTCTTGAGGAGGGACAGCTGCGCTGAGTGGTTTTGGTTGTCTGTGGCGAGAACCATCTTAATGACCATCCGACGGAGAGACGTAAACTGGTCCTCGCTCAGATGCTGAGTGGGGAATGGGCAGCAGGTCGGCATGTATTCCGCTCCGTGGCTGTGTATGTGTGTGCCCGACGTACTTTGAATGGGTCCTCTTGTGTGCCGTCGAGCATGGCGTTAAAGGCCGCCGCCACGTGATGATTCTCCAACACATTGCGATCATTATACCTACACAGCAGGCAAACAGCCTCCCTGGCGGATTAATCACACCAATTCGCATCCAGTTTATCCACCTGAGTGCGACGGGGTGTTCGACGGCAATGAGGAACTGGTTGTTGAAGCCCGGATGCTGGTAGTCGTGGATGGCCGCGGCAAACACACCCGACATGACTTCCTGCGCCGTCAGGGCCTGGGGGTGTCTGTTGCTCGCCCACGACAGCAGCAGGTGGGTCGCTTGCGCCACGTCGGCCACGTGGGCCGAGCTGTGGTAGGGATTCGTCTTGACGTAACCCTGCATTAACACACATGTGAAGATTTGATGTGTGTGTTGGTTGTGTCTGGTGTGGTGTGTCATCTTGTTTGCGACCCACTCGTTCGATGGTAATGAAGTATCTTTTGAGTGCGCCAAGGTTGATGTCGAAAGTGGAGTTCCAGTCCTGCAACTTGAAGATCTGCACCAGCAGCAGCGGCAGCGTCAAGTCACCTATCATCTGACAGACAAGAGAGGCATGAACGACACACAGATGGGATGGCTGCTGGCGGCGAGACAGACAGGCGTGCTGAGACTGACCTCGACCACCTGGAACACGTCGAAGTCCCACTTCATGAGGTGGGCATTCAGGTAGTCCAACACACGCTGAGAGATCATACACAAGTCAGTCAGGAATGTGTATCCATGTGTCGATGGCGCCTTCTGTCTCACGTCTTGGAGTTCAGGGCCGATGGATGGCGCTGGCCCGGGTGCTGCGCTCGCTGGATGGTGGGCAGTCGGCGGCACGTCCGGGAGCTGGAAGAACTCAAGTGTCGACACCTCCATTGTCTCCACCCGACCCTCATCGGCCTGGTGGATGGATGGATGGATGACCAACACGACACCCATCCATCCGAGTGACACAGCAGTATATTCTCCCTATTCACCCACCCGTGCTTTTCTCTTGGCGTTGCTGAGCAGCAGATTCTCCAGGTCGTTGTCCTTCCAATTCGACTCACCGATCTGATATCAGATACATAAGACAAGAGCACACAAAAGTGGATGGTGAGACACGGGCGGCCATGTTGTCGGATGGGTGGCAGACTGACCGAGTCGGATGCGATTTTGATCCACGCTTGGACCTCGAGGTCCATCTGCGATCCCGCCTTGGTCTTGTCGGTCTCGACACTTATGGAGTAGAGCTTGTTGGACGATATCACGTCCATTGTCCACTCGACATTGTCCTTGTCCTTGTTGGTCAATCCTGTGCACATCCATCCATCCATCCCTCCATGCGTCCATGGAAGGACTGTAGGTGTCCGTCCGTCCCTTCGGGTGACTGACTCACCCACCCTTTGCCTCGAGGATCTCTTTGAATATGTCCAGCACCCGCTCAACCGGCGATGTGAACTGGATGCCCACACCGGGAGGCTTCGGCCGCTGCTTGTCGCGCGACGCCCGACGCAGCACCAGCACAAGACGCATCAGCCGCATCAGACGGAGGACAAGGATGCCCTGCAAATGGAATGCAGCAACCCACAGCTGTATGTATGGGCGTGGGCGTGGGTGGCTGCCATTGGGTGTCTACTTGACCTGTTTGCCTTTGCCTTCGATGTCGACGAATAGGAGTGCGAATGAGGTGATGACAACCGCAGCGTCGAAGAGGTTCCAGGGGTCTTGCAGGTACCAAAGGCCATGACCGATCAGACGGAGACATATCTCGATCACGAAGCAAATCAGCAGCGTCAAATCGGTGTAGTAGAACACGTCCTTTACCTAACAGACCAAGTGTGCGCACCACAAACAGACCAAGAGACACATTTGAAAGAAAGAGAGAATTCGCCCTTTCCTCTCTCTCCCTCCCTCCCTCCCTGCCTACCACTTTGTTGCCTTCGATCTCCTCTTCAAAGGCGAATGTGACCATAAGCAGGAGAGCAAACAGCCCCACAAGCGCGTATACAGTGAGATCGAATGCCTTGGACTCGATGATGTTTTTCACGATGGCGACGAAGACCTTCACAAAGCTCTCTGTCTCCTCCTCTTCGTCCTCGAGGTATGTGTCGTCGTCGATGACCTGCACCTTGCCGCACCGCCGCAGCAGCACGTACCACGCGGCTATCTGGAACAAGAGGTTGCGGACGAGGTCGAACAAGACCACCATGATGAAGTTGAACCAGATCATCCCTGGACGACCGATCCAATACACCCTGATGGATGGATGGATGCCACATGCCTGTGCACACTAAACGCATGTGGGCGTGTGCGTCTATCCAGTCACTCACCACATCATTTGCACGACCATGGTGAAAAGTGCCCCGCCCGAGACGAAGACGACCAGCCACTGAAGGCCGCACTTCTGGGATGACCGCATGCAGTCGATGTTGGGCTCCCCGTCTCGTCGACGGCCCTCCTCCTTGTCCGCCTCGACAGGCTTGTCCCCCCCGCCCCCCTCCTGTTTGTCATGCTCATCTGTGTCCAGGTACTTCTCCATCTTGATGCTCACAGCCAAAATCATCAGCATATTCAGGAGAAAGTTGATTGGGATGCTGAATCAATCCAAAACACAGATAGATAGACAACGGACACAACGCGATCGATCCATCCACCGGGCCGATCTGCATCATATATCGTCGACCTGATAAATTGTGCGAGAATGACTGCACTGGGGCTGAAGCACGTCTCGCCGGCTGTTGGTGAAAAGAAGAAAGAGGCGCTTGCGTCTTCTCTTGTGTCTCTGTCGATGTCTGTTTGTGTTTCGCACCCACCAGGCAAGTCGAAGCAGAACTCATCCCGAAACTGCGTCTTCTCGCACTCGTCTCCAGGGTCCACACACCACAGGGAATACTCCTCCGTACCCCCCTGACACTGCAGCCCCGACCCCACAGACACATGTCGTTATTGCATCGGTCCATCCATCATCAGCCTGTACAGAGAGAATCCCGTCTTACGTCTGGCCGTGGGTCAGGCGATCCGAATTGTGTGTCGTCCTCGTAGCTGATTGACCGGCCATCGGGCAGCGCAATGCTGTAGGGGGGGTCGGACGGCAGACGCTCAGGCGGAATGCAACCTGGATCGATGCATCCTTGGTGGACATGTGTGTGGTGTGAGTGACATACCTACCTGGGAAGCAACCTTGTACCCTTGGCAGGCGTCCGTCGAAGACTTTGTCGGCCGCCACGCCCTCCTCGTTGTCGTCGACCCACTCGGCGCACTCGAGCCAGTCGTCGCCGTCCACTTCTGCCCTGGTGTGCTGTAGAGAGACAGAGACACTCAATAGTCACCCACTCACTTGAACCCCTTCTCCCGGTCGGTCGGATGCACAAGTGTATCAACTCACTCACCACTCCGCGTACCCCTGCCTTTGGGCCCTGAAGGGGGTAGGGGTACTCGAACAGCTTCGTGTACTTGTTTCCACCTGATGGAGGGGCGGTGCCACACACACACATACAGACAGACATATGCGGGAGTGAGTGGTTGTCTTCTTCTTCTTCTTCTTCTTCTCTTCCTGCAGACCGTATGTGAGCGGCGATGAGAGAGAAAGCTGCCCGCAAGTGAGTGTGGGGAAGTGGTCGAGGATGCAGCGGTACTTGCAGGCCTCCCGGCGCTCACACCGATTGGAGAAGTTCAAGTCGTACTGACGAACCTGCAAGGCAATGAGAGTGATGAATACATGCATCACACAAAAGGACAAACATGACATGCAGTGGCATCCATGGTATGTCTGTCGCACGCCTCTTCGATTAATCGATTCAGTCAGATATATGTGTAATGAATGCCTCACACACACCAACCAGGCTGGCGAGCACGGCGAGATAGATGGACAGATGGACGAGCAGCCTGACCAGCCGCGCGAATTGCGGCATGCGCTGGTCCTCGGGCAGGTAGTACTCGTGGAACCAAAAACGGAGAAACGGATTGTTGGCCTTCAGGTGAGTCCTGCAAACACACAACACATGCGCCACACGTACCGGTCAAGAAGGGTCAATGAGTGCCTGTCTTGTGTTTGTGTTTGTGTTTGTGATGTTGGGTTACTTACTGTAGGCTTGGCACGCGAAGGGGCCCTTCGGTGGGCAGCTGCATAAACGTGAACGCCCACATCACACCTCCAGTCAGCTGAAGAGCGCCGGAAGAGACGGGCCGGTGGGGGTGAGACTTTGTCTCAGATGAGAGCCAAAAAGGAGCCGAATGAATCAGGAACGGCAAAATTCACTACAAAAGTTACTGGAGTGAGCATCAAAATTGGTGGTGGTTAAGGGTAAGATTAAGAGCATAAAATGCGTCGAAACTCTAAGCTCGCAGCGCCAGATCCAAGCTCGCTGAATGGAAGGGACGAAATATCGCAATCTAGCTGCTGTTGGCATCGTAAGATCTAGCGAGTGTGGTTGGCAGATCAGCTCAATTGTGTGATCGTCATGACGGAGAGAGAGGAGCGGCGCCGTCACAAGGACAAGGATAGGGACCGAGACAAAGACCGTGACAGGGATAGGTAAGCAAGCCAAGCCATGCACACACATACAGCATGATGATACACACACCCGCGATGAGTCTTGTCTGATGGCCGATCTCTACACTCTGATGGACTCAGGGAGGAGCGGAGGCGTGAGCGTGGCCGTGGTCGTGAGCGCGACGATGACAGAGACCGGGAGGACCGACACAGGGACCGGGAGGACCGACACAGGGACAAGCGCAAGTGAGCTGACCCCAGCTGCACACCACTCCCGGTGGTTGGATCACCAGCAACTGTGTGTATGTTTGTGTTCTTTCTGCTTTCTGCAGGAGTCGTGATCAGGACCGAGACCGTTCACATGAGTATGAGGACGACAGGGACAGAGATCGGGACAGAGATAGGCGCAAGTGAGACCCACACAGCACCACATGCACGCTTGCCACCTGTTCCGTGTGATCTTGTGTGTGTGTGTGTGTGTGTGCGTGTGTGTAGGAGGAGCCGTGACCGGCGGAAGCGCAGCCGCAGTCGGGACAGGGATAGGGATCGAGATAAGGAAAGGCGACGGGACAAGGACAGGGACAAGGACAGGGACAACGACAGAGACAAGCGGTAGGCAAAGTGTCACCCACATCCAACACATCGACCAACATTCATCTGCTCCGTGTGCTGGTGTGGTGTGCTGTGTGGGCAGGGAGCACAGGTCGTCCCGTTCCGGCCACGATGACCGCACCGAGCGCACCGACCGGCCGCCCTGGGAGCACCACGACGTAACGCACACATGCACACCCAACGAGACGAGCAGAGGGGGGAAACCCTGAAGCGCCTGTTGTTGATCGCTGTGTGTCTTCAGGAGAGGTGGAAGGATCGCGAGTGGCGCGACAGAGAGCGTGATCGCATCCGGGACTGGTGGAGGGACAAAGCCGAGCGAGACCGGGCCGCACAGGCCGATGAGCACGACCGCATGAGGGGCTCTCGTGAGCGGGGCTTCCGGTTTGACAGCCCCCCAAAGGATGCGGTCGCGGCCACGAGCACCACCAACGTGCCGGATCCCCCGTCTGCTGGCGGCCTCGCCATGGCCGCCCCTGCTCTGCCCGGCATCCCCGGCATGTACGGCAACATGGCAGCAGCAGCCATGGATCCGCTGATGGTGGCCCAGGCGGCGGCTCAGCAGATCAACCAGACGTCGGGAGGGGGCGTGACGGCGCAGACGACCAAACCAGCCCGCGAGCTGTATGTGGGCAACCTGCCGCCGGGCATCACGGTGCCCCAGCTGCTGGAGTTCATGAACCAGGCGCTGCTGGCCATCAAGGGCAACACGGCCCCCGGCAACCCCTTCGTCAACGCGTGGGTGGCCACCGACGGGCAGACGCAGCGCCACTACTCGTTCGTGGAGGCCCGCTCGGTGGAGGAGGCTACCAACGGCCTGCACCTCAACGGGATTGTGCTGCTCGGCAACGCACTCAAGGTTGGGCGGCCCAAGACGTACGCTGATGCGGCACAGGCGCTCTTCAACGCCGGGCAGTTGGGTTGGACCGCCGTGTACGGCACGCTGAGCCAGCCGGCGCCCCCCTCACTCCCGTCAACACTGCTCATGCACGTACGTCACGTGGGAATGAATACCTCCCTCCACACATGCCATCCATGCCTCACAGAGGGCCCCATATTCACTCACAGCCTGGCTGCGCTCTCTCTGTGTGTGTTGTGCTGTCGATCAGATCCCGGCCCCTCCAGCGGGCTTGCCAAGCGCAGGAACGGCCGGTGCCATCTCAGCTGGCGGCCTAGCCGCACTCCCCGGCCTCGGTGCAGCTGGCGTAGCATCTGACATGGTCATCCCACCCCTCCCCGGCACCGACGGCATGTCGCCCCCTGCCATCGTTGGTGCGGGCATGGCTATCCCTGGCATCCCCATGATGGGCGCCGCTGCTGCCGGGCGGCCTGAGCGTCTGTGTGTCAAGAAGCTGCCTCTGAGCATGGAGGAAGAGGACCTCCGTGAGTTCATGAGCTCGTTCGGGTCGATGAATTACTTCTTCCTGGCCAAGGATGAGGCCACCGGTGTGCACAAGGGCATCTGTCTGGTCGAGTACGACAGTGTGGAGAAGACGGTGGCGGCCCAGCAGGCGCTGGACGGGCTGCAGCTGGGCGGCGAGAACCTCATCGTCAAGAACGCGGAGGACTGCTTCCTCAACGACGATGAGGTCATCGCCATCGTCAAGGCCAACGCGTCGGCCATGGGTGCGATGGCCATGTACGAGCGGCCGTCGCGCGTGGTGATGCTGACCAACCTGTGCACGGCGGACGAGCTGCTCGACCAGAAGGAGTACCAGGAGATCTTCACGGACATCAAGGAGGAGTGCGGCACCTATGGGGAGGTGCTGTCGATGGAGATGCCCCAGCCCATCAGGGGCATCCCCTTCCACGAGCAGGACATGACGGCCATCGGCAAGGCGTTTGTCGAGTTCTCCAAGGTGGAGGGCGCCAGCAAGGCCAAGAAGGGCATCGGCGGACGCAAATTCGGCGACAAGGTGGTCGAGGCGCGATACTTCAACGAGTCCAAGTACTACGACAAGGAGTTTGAAAATCCGCAGGCCAACACAGCGCCTTCCAAGCCGCCCCCGCAGCTCGAGGCGCTCATGGACGGTGCGGCACCCGAGCAGAACGGTGATGGGGCCCACGCCGATGAGGCCAAACAGGAGGGGGAAGCAGCTGGCGAGGGGGCTGGGGAGGGCGAGGGCGAGGGCGAGGACAAGACTGAGCAGGCGGAGAAAGTAGAGGAGACAGCTGAGGCCACCAAGACGGAGGTGAGGGGTGCACACGACATGCATGACACGACGTCAACTGACGTATACGTCTGCACGTGTGTGTACGTGTGGTATGTGTGTGTTCAGAACGGTGCTGCGAAGGATGAGGGTATGGCTGCGGTGAAGGAGGAGAAGGAGGAAGAGAAGGCCCCCCTGCAGCCCAACGGACACGCCGAGGAGCAGAAGTAGCACCCAACACACGTACGCTGCTGGTTGGCACACGACGACATGAATAGGCATACGAGTCGGCTCACATTGGCCGTCCGTGGGTTCTATATGCACGTATCTCTCAGGTGTTCTTGCGGGCGTTGGGGGTGATTTAATTGGACAAGACGATGAGAATTGATGCGTGGCTGTGCTCCCCCC